AGACGAGGCACTCGGGCTGCACGTCCACCAGGGTGTACTCTGTCTTGTCGGCGCAGTTGGCCGTCGTGTAGCCGCACGACTCGAGAGCACGGCCGAGTGGTGCGCCATCCACACCCCACGGAACTCTGGCAGATAGATACCTGGGGGGAACGCATTCATCCACAGCCACCAATCCAATCAGCCAGCCAATGAATATATCGATGATGCCTGCACGCACCTGTGCAGTAGGTTCGAGAGGAAGTAGTACTGAATGCCGGTCAGCGGCTCGTTCAGAACACGCGCCTCCAGCTGCACCGTGTTCCTTCAGCCATCGCACAGCACAGCACAGCACAGCATTAACACAAACCTCTACAATGCAGCTGCAGTGTTGCCTCATGGGTCGCGCACTTTGCTTAGATGAGCACAAACGAGTCGACATCCACTCCATCGGCATTGAATTTGCTCGCCATGTTGTGCAGCTGTGCCACGGGGCTAAAGGCGGTCCTGGCGAGTCTTGCGTCGAGGTGTGGGGCGAGCTCCCGCTGCAGCGGAGGATGAGGGGCACCACCTTGGTGCGCTTCATGGGCCGGCAGGTCACCGCTTTCCAAGGCCGCTCGTCATCCATTCAACCAATGGATCACGGACACACGCGGAGGGCCCCAGGGCTGCCCTTCAAGGCAAGCTGATGAAATGCGCCGATGAGTCGGATGAAATCGCATTGGCGGATATCGGCCCTCATGCTTCAGCATCTCTATCAACACGTCCGTGACAGTTGCCTGAAGATTGTCGAAACAATTGCGTCCACAGCATATCGCACTCGCCGGAAAGATCAAAAGGACGCGAAAGTCTCCCCGAGTCTGACCGTGAGGCGTTCAGGTGACCGAGCTTCCTGCTGGCAGCCTGCAAGGGAAGACGCAACAGCCAAAAGTGAACGAAGAGATCTGTGTAAGTACTTGGATAAAAAATGCTCGGTGGGCTGTCCTGACGGCCTTGTGTCTCCTCTGGCGGCTCAGCGGCAGTGGGCTCACCATCAGGAAGAGCATTGCGTCGGTCACACAACGGGGCCACGAGAGATCTTTGTCCGCTGCAGCAACGCGAAGAAGATCTGAAGCCCATCTGTCCTCTTCCCTCGTGAAAGGTGAGCTCGCATTTTGTGCCCCCGTCAAACCCCCAGCCTTTTCCGCATTCCCTGCGCTTTTTTCTTTCACTTGTCGTGTCAATGGTCTCAGTGCGGAGGGGGAAAAGGAAAAAAAGAGAGAAAGGAATTTGCCAAAGTCGGTGATCGAGTGAGGATCGAATTGCCCTTTTTCTCACAGCTGACACTTCGCTCGTTTGATTCTGGTGCACGAGATTGTCCAGTGGGAGCCCCGAGGACCATCCAGCGAGAGAAAGAAAGAGGAAAGACTTTTCACTCGAGTCGCACCATTGCGGGCAGATCTGAGAGATCTGAGACCAAAGCCGCGTGTCACAGTGTGGCCGGCCATGTGGCTTTCAGCGCCTTGTGATGGTGGTTTTGCCGAGAAGCTGCGGTCAATCATCGAGATGGGCTTCCCGGAGGCGGCCACGAGGTCAGCCGGCGACCATAAGCACATAAAGGCATTGGCGTGTGAAAGGATGTCATTTTTATCAGGGAGAAGCTTCTCGAGGAGAGGGGCGATGTGCAGGCTGCTCTTTCCTCGCTGCTGCGTGTGCAGCCAGATGATCGGGGAGGTATGTGTGTATGTCTGTGAGCGGCACGACAGCACGAAACACGTACACACAGATGGACGATGGATGTGGAGGCCACCGTGGTGTTGTCGACTTCTGTCAGCCCCCGCCATGTCTGATGAGGAGCACCAGATCGCACCAGAGCAGCAGACGGACGTACCATTAGATGCGGCCGACCCGTCCAGCCCAGAAAAGCGAGAACGGAAACAAGGCGAGCTGTGCGGACTCCAAAACATCGGAAACCGTGAGTTGCGACACGCAAACGTACCTGTCTGTACACGCACCTCTCTCTCCCTCTCTCTGCGTCCATTCGTGCGTCTCTCTCAGCTCACCACGTCAATTTCTTCCTCCAGACGCTCTTCCTGGTGCCCGGCTTTGTCGACTGTGTGCTGCGGTATCGCGAGGAAAGCGAGCTGCCGGCAAAGAGCGAGAGAGAGACCACCGATGGGTCAGTAAGGGAACACTTGGGCCTTGCCATCGTGGTGGCGTCATCTCTCTCTCTCTCTCTGTGTGTGTGTGTGTGTGCAGTGCTGCTAGCGGTGAGGGTACGATGGCCGATGGTGTGCCGCTGGGCGAGGAGTCAGCGAGACGGTAACGATAACAATGCAGCCTGAGGGGCTCCAGAGTCTTATGCGTGTTGGTGTGTCGTATCAGACACTCGAGCGGCGCCAGAGGGAGGGGGCGGACGGCATCGCAATCACTAGGTGTGCATTCGGGGCAGACATGCACCTGGTGGTGCGGTACATGTGTTGTCTTCTGTGTGGTTGTTGTTCACGAACAGTGTTGGAGCTGCGCCGTCTGTTTGCGCACATGCTGCTGTCGAAGCGCAAGTGCGTTAGCCCAGAGAACGTGCTGGCGCACCTGGTCGATGAGAACGGTACACCCCTGCAGTGTACATGTTGCAGCCACACACCGTCATGCATACCTAATGGTGTGTGCGGTGCGTGGATGAATCAATCAGGTCGGTCGGTCCCTTTGGGCACACAGGAGGATGTGGGGCAGCTTTCAAGCAAGTTCTTCGAACGGCTAGAGGAAGGTCACTCAGTCTGCCTGCCGTGCACACAAAGCCGCGGACGACACATGACATACATGCATTCATATACCTGTCTGTCTGTCTGTCTGTCTGCACCTGTTGGTCCCATCAGATCTCATGCAGGGTGCGGTGATGCCGCCCCGGTGGGGCCGTCAGCACCCACCTCCCATTCCCGCCACCGCCACCCCTCTACTCATCCCCATCCACCGACACACACCAGCACTCCGCAACACCAGCTGCAGCGCCTAATGGGGCGGACCAGATGAGCATGGGCACAATGGGTGACGAGCAGCAGCAGCAGCAGGTGACGAGCACCATTAAGATCCACTTTTCACCCGAATGAGGCCGATCGCATGGTGGATGGGGAGGTGGGCGAGGGGCGGCATGGTGGGCATGGCGATGGCAATGGAGGGAGGGAGGAAGCTGTGATTCCGTTCGATGAGTTGACGAAGGTTCAGCTGGTGGAGCTGCTCAGGGCCCACCCATCACCCGACATGCGACACGTTGCCGACAACATCACGGCCAGCACACCACACAGACACACGTATGAAGCAGGGGCACCGACCTGATGCGTTGTCTTGTCGGCGTGTGCCTGCACAGAGGCTAGCGATCGACTCGGCGGTGAGTTTGTTGGACATGTTGGATGACATGGACAGGGGGGCTGTGTGCGAGGGCATCCGCTGCGAGCTCGGCCTCCCAAAGGGCATCGCACTCCTCATCATACCGCAGCTGCGGCGCTTCCTGCGGGCACTTCAACGGCGGGGGGCCGTCCAGTGGCCACCTGGGGATGGTGAGAGGGGGGAGGGAGGCCTGGCTGCCGGCAAGTCGTGGGATTCAGCTCGCCTGGCGTCGGCCATTGAGCATGAGATAGACATGATGGCGGCTGACAAGAAGCAGCGGCACGGCGACAGACTACAACACGTCATCGACAAAATCAGAGAGGTGAGTCCACACGCGACACACAGCACAGAATCACTCATCGATGTCTGTGCCTGTCTGTGTGTGTGCAGCATGGCATATCAGGCATTTTGGTAGGTCGTTCGGATGCAAGCATCACTCGTTCCTAGAGTGATGGGACGGCCATGGCATGCTGATGATGGTGATGTGAGTCAGTCAGTCAGTCAGTGATCGAGACTGCCCCTGGTGTGTGTGTGCGTCTGGGCTATGTAAAAGTGTGGCTTTCTCCATCCATCCATCCATCGTGCCGGTGTTCCCATGTGTAATTCCATGCATGTTTTATGAGACATTCGCGTATGATCAAAACGCCCATGTGGTCGCTCATTGTGAGAAGACAGAGGATGGCGTAGGAACGACCTTGACAGCATATATAGCATCCATGGGATGGATAGTCAAGACGCCTGTACACGGGTCACCTCCATCCATCCACCCAAGCATGCACACAGCACCAAGGCACCACACACATCCTTCCCCACCGCCTCACGTGCACAGCCAGCGGCGTCGACGGACGGCTGCCATTTGCCCAGTGAGAGGTCCATCCCGAGATGGGCAGAGACCCAGTCTCGTGCAATGTTTGTGTAAGTCAAATTGTGGCAGGTCTGTCTGAAGCGCTGGTGTGTCTGTCTGAGGCGGAGAGGAAGGAATTGCCCGTTCTATGTCTGTTTCTCTCAAACCAGACTGTGGCGCTACGGCTATGCACTGATTTGACCGACACAATATATACGGACGTCCAGGTCAGCACACACATCCGATCTACACATGCAGCGTCTGCTGTCTGTCTGTCTGTCTGTCTATGTATCTATCTGTCAGTCTGTCAAACATGTGCCATACTTGATGATCGACCTGTCGTTGATCCTCACGTGGAGGCCACGCAGGCCTCGCAGACGCAGCAGCGATGTCGACGTCAGATTGCCCACACTGGCAGCGTCTACATCCTCCGACACTGCACAGACAAGTGCAAACAAACAAATACGCACACCCGCTGTCGATGACGTCGAAACGATTTCTTCCCTGGCTCACCGCCGGTCAGGCTCAGCTCGAGCTTCTCGATCTTTGGCAAATCAGCCGCCCTGTCGCCCCACGTGATGCCCTCGACGCCCACATCCTCCACCACCAACACCGCTCTCCTGAGTTCCCTGTCGCCGCCGACAGACTCGATCACCTGCAGGGCCTGGCCGGCCGTCACGCCACGACATACCAACTCGTTGCAATTGAGTCTGCTGGCCAGCTGGCAGGCGAGCTGGCAGCCAAGGCGGCTAGACAGCGTCAGCTTGCCGAAAACAACGGGGAAGCGGTTGGGCAGATTTGCCTGAACGGAAGAGAAGCGGCCCCCTTAGATTTGGTGTTCTTTGGTGTTGTTTGGCGCTTACGAGAATGGATGCATCGCACTCCTGTGCATCGGCCGGCGGCAACAGCACATCAGCATTGCACACCGTCACACGCACCACAAAGCTCTTGAATGACAGCCGGGACACGAAGTCCTTGAATGCCGCGTCATATACGGGCGGCTGGTCGAGGCTCGCCGGAGCAATGGTCCAGTAGAGGTCGTTAGCGAGGGAAGCCGTCTTCTGTACGAACTCCATGACGAAAGGGGTGGCGTATGGGGAATGGCGCTGCATGGACGGCAGGAGGCTGCCAAGGTCGATCTTCAGAGCGGGAGCATTGAGGTGGGCGAGGAGAATGGGAGGCGGTGGGTTAACAGCTATCACACCTATCTGGACCGACACGGCTGGTCGGCAGAGGGCAGAGTGGAAGCTCTCCCAAGGCAGAGAACACAGGCAGCCATGCGGCATCGACTATGCTGTCTCCCGGGAGGCTCACTGAGAGGTGCTCCAGCGACGCCACACACCCATAACGCGCCAAGACGTTCTAAAAAGAACCAAGAGAGGAAGGAAAGACAGACAGATGCACTCGACACACTGCATGTGATGTGGTACGGATGCCTACCTTGAGCTCCAGGATCGCATCGCGGCTCTCCAGAGAACCCCTCTCGATCCTCAAAGTGCCGATGGACGCCAGGCGCGACAACGGCCTTCCGCTCTGGCCGCCCTCGCCCGGCCAATTCTCTGCAAACTCCCTGAACATCTCCGCCTTCTGCTCAGGAGTTGCCTCGCCAGGCAGATGCGTCGGCGTACGAGCAGAGTGCCGAAAGAACTTCATCACACCGGTCTGCGGAGCACGCAAGTCGTCCGATGCGAGAGTGAGGGATTCGAGGGCCGGCGTCTCGAAGCAGTCAGCCAGGCCGAAGGCGCCAGACGGCAGGTTGATGATCGTGGTGAGAGCATGAAGGCAGGGGAGGGGCCGCGATGGGCCAGTGGGCCGGCCGGGCGGAGGGACGTACCCGTCGATGCTGGTGAGAATGGTGGTAAGGCTCCCGTCCGGTAACAGCTCTGCCGACGGAGGGGCTCGGCCTGACCCCCTCGCCTCACGCCGCATGGTGTCGATCATCTTTTTCCGCCCCTCCACATGCCCTGTCAATAAGGACTTGAGGGGCTCATAGAAGGCCGGGGGTGTGTCGATGGTAAACGGGCTGTGGCCAGATGTATGACGGACGGTGAGTGTGGTCAGATTGGTCAGGCGGCTCCCCCACTCTCTGGTCGCCGCCAGGTCTGCAAGCATGGGGATGTCTTCCTTGAACTCAGACGTGTCGATGAGGACATGGCGGTAGTGGGGAGCCACAGCCGCCACGAGCTCCTCGGGAGGGGCGCGGACGCACCACATGGGAAGGTATGAGAATATGCCACAGAGATGGGGGACGTCCTGCATGAATGCCATGGACACACAGTGACGGACGAAACTAGGGAGCGTCTCTCTGCCGTCCTGTACCTCTGTTTCGAATTCTTCGAATTGTCTGTCTGGGTCGCTGTCGAGGGAAGAGCCGGAGCTGAGGTCACTGTCCTCACTGTCCCCATCGTCGTCGCTCGGACACCACTCGGAGTCGTCTTCGTCGCTCTCACTCCATTCGTCATCTGAATGTCGACACATATCCACATCCCCACCCAGATGTTTTGCCCTCATCCACTCTGGTGCTCGCTGCGTTTCCCGTACGTACCGTCAAGATCGCCTAGTGCCGTGGCGATCGCGGCGTTCTCATCCCCCTCTCCGTCACGATTTTCGTCTCCACCCTCCTCGCCGCTGCTGTCACCCTCGACAGACTCGCTCTCCGACTCAAGACTCGCTATCGCTCTCGGCCTGTACGTATAAGCAGAGAGGGATAGATAGGTAGGTCCGGCTTGCATGTGTGTGGACCTCTACTCGCCCAGCGCACCTCTAAGTCTGCACCCATTTGGGCGGCCAGCGGTTCGAAAGTGTCCTTGATCTCCTGAGGGCTCATGTCCTGTGGCGAATAAATAAAGGAACCGACAAAGAGGGCAGGATGGATTCGCTGCCTCTCTGTGTGTGGGCCGTATGGTACCTACCCTGATGTGACACGCATAGGCAGCATACGTCAGCTGTAGGAGCGATTGCAAGTCCAAGAGATCAGCAGCCTGGTGAATTGCATGCAGCAAGGCAAGGAAGGCATCACCGCAACCAGACGATGGATGCCAGTGGGTACCATATCGGTCACGTACCTTCATGACCTGATACAGCTCTTGCCGATCGGCTGTGCCCAACACCTCTCGCTCAAGCAGCAGCACTGGCACCTGACACGCCAACCAAGGAATCGACACACAAACACTCATCCTCACACACACACACACACTCACTCACACGCATCCGCGGTGTATGTGCGTCATGGTGACTCACTTCTCCGACGTAGACCGTCGCTTCCAGTGGCTGCTTGATAGCTGGTATCTCCCTGCCGGCATAATGGCCGCAGTACTTGTGGAATACCATTTTCAGCAGATGCGCATCGATGGGGAGAGGGATCGGACTTTGATCTGATGGATCTGATGAAGCTGCACAGAGAAAGGTACTGGCTTCAAGCGCTTCGTTTCGTTGATTCTGCTCACCCTCCAGGATGCCCTTGACGAGGTTTGACCTCCGGGCGGCCTCGAGAGGAACCTCCACCACCTTTTTGTCTTTGGACTCGACTTTGATCATCTCAACTTCCGCGGTAGGATTGGCTATTTTCACCATCCTCGTTCCATCCCACACTGTCGATGTTGTGCCCCATTTCCCCAACAGTGGCTGATAGTACGGCGCAGAGGCGCCGGAGCTGAGACCCTCCAGTACAGGGCCTGAAAGCCACTCCACGACTACAATAACACCTCCGCGAAGGAGATCACTGCCAGAGCTGCCAACAGAGAGGGGACGAAAAGCGCAGCGGAGAAGCGAGGAAGGACGATGACCAAGGACAAGCAGATAGCGGGTTGAACGAAGGTGAAGTAGAGCCACACCCATAATGCTCGCCACATCATACGATTTGTGGAAAAGAGTGGGCAAAAGAATGAAACCGTCAGCCTAATGAGTTAGGGCCGACGGCGGCGTTAATCGGAGGCCGGACTAAGGCCGCAAGACAAAGCGGTTTCAGGCATGGGGCAACCAGGGCCATGGAGATGCAATCGATCGGTAGCGCCGCAGCCATCTCCAACGGATGACCCTCCTCTCACCAATTGGGGTCAGGAGCTCCCAGAGGAGCTCACGAGATGCGCAATAGATCACACAAGACTCTGCGCATGGCTGTCTGCTGTTTGCTGCTGCAGGTGTTGCAGGGGTGTGGTATCGTTCGTGTAGCAATATTGCTGTGAGAAGTGGAGTTTCTCACTGAGGATTCTCTTTGGCACACCACCACCATCAATGACTCCGTGGCGTACCACTCGGCCAAGGAGCCGGCTGGAAGGGGCCAAGGAAGTGCGCCGCAATCGATGGGGCCCGGGAGCTCAGAAATTGATGTGAGGGACCGATCTGCTGAGGGGAGCGGTGATCTGGGAGCCGTGATCTGGCGCTTCAATGCGTTTTTGTCGGGTCCTAAGGAATCAGAGGCCAGCCAGGTGACCGAAGGAGAGAGAGAGCACCGCAGACAGACTGCCGATGGCCGACGATGAGATCTGGTCGGACTGCAATTGTCCTTCCCTCTCTGTCTGCTTGTCAGCGGGCGGCGCCTGCGAGCGGCCAAGGATGACACGAGGGCATGACTGAGGAGGGTCATTTTTCAGATCTGATGTGCGGTGAGCCGCCTGGGTGCAGTGCCAGAAGGGACGAAGACAGTGCAGATAAGTCAGTGCCTTCTCTCCCTTGTGTATGTTACTTATGTGTTCAGCCCTGGTCTTGGACACGTCGTGCAGCCGACGTGGGAGTGAGTGCGTCCGTCCACGAGGCGGGCGAGCAGAGCGCTGTGAGCGGTGCAGCCAGCGACGTCGACGGCGGCTGTCACTTGCCCGGTGAGAGGTCCATCCCGAGAGTCATCGAGACCTGCCGCTTTGCAATGTTTGTGTATGTCAAATTGTGGCAGGTCTGTCTGTCTGTCTGTCTGGCGAAGTGCCTGCCGACGCCGCTTCACCCGACCAGGCGCTCTCGGAGCGGTGTCGTCGCCCCTTTGCTGACTCGTGGCGGGGCGGCCTCACTGTGTGGCGTCGTCAATGCCTGGACACTTTTGCTGCTGGCTTCGGGAGCGGGCCGACGGAGACCGCTTTCACCATTTCCCGCAGATCTGCTGGACAGCGACAAACGCCATCAGCCACTTAAGTAACCGGGCTTTTCTGCGGCTGCTGCGGCTGCTGCGCCACCATCGCCGGAGGAGTCCGAGAGCGATGGGCAGGGCTTAGACTGAGGACCGATGGGAGGCCGAAGCGGTACTTGTCGCTGAGGAAGGATAGATGACTCACGTATAAATACAAAATTCCTGGCTGCCTCTTCTTTGTGTCCCTTTTCCAGTTCTTGGACCGACGATGACTTCCCTCTCCAGGTCAGGTTAGGGCCTCGTAACAGAAGCTCACCCATCGATGCATCCCTCGCAATCAATCGCTCTCTTATATATCTCTGTCTGCGCTGTGCTGTTGGAGAGGCTATCGGTGGCTGGCGACAACGAGCTATGTACTGATGTCTGTCTGTCTGTCTGTTGAGGACTTCCCTTGGCCGCCGCCGTCGCGCAGATCGACACTGACGATAGATAGATACAACCATCCATCGAACCGAACCCGAGAAGGAAGTGGAGGAGCTCTTTGAGGCGCATGAGATGTACGGCACGTCGTGGACCGGACCCAGACGACTACATACATCCCCGAGAAATACACGCCATCCTCTCCCCCGCTCGCAGCGCCCCCATCCCCCTCACCTCACCTGCACTGCACCGACGGACGCCCGTTTTCCCACCCTCCAGCAACGGTTGGCATCCCTCTCCCTTCAGCCGACCAGCGCACATTCAGGCCCCGTACCAAAACAAGTGCAGGGGCAGGCAACCAGTGAGTGGATCGATCGTGTCGACGGGCCTGCGAGAGGGAGGAGAGGCGGCCTGCCAGTGACTGAGTGACGCGGGCAAGAAGCGGAAAAAAAGAGGCCTGAGAGAGTGCAGGGTGTGTGTACAGAGTCTGTCTGAGGCGTGTGGTGCCATGCCATGCCGACCGCTTTCATCTTTTTCATCGTCACTGACGTGAGCATTCCAGTCGCACACAGGGGTGTATTGTATTGTATGGGATCGGATCAACACCCTCTGTCCTTTTTCTGTTGGCCACTGTGACTGCAGATTTTTCCAATATATATTTGTGGGTGCAAGAAAGGCGTGATCAAGGGCCATCTTGAGTGATCTTTGGCATGGGGACGGAATCTCAGGAAGGGCGACAAGAACCATCCATCACGTGCAGGTAATGTACTGTACCGGAGCGCTTCCCCGACTTCTTCGACCAGATGAGGGAGGGAGCCGAGCCACACAAGGAAGGAAGACCACAAGCACCATGTAATGTAAGAAAATGAGACATCCATCGTGCGGTCATCGCATGTGTACTGCTTTCGATCGAGGTTTCTCTTCCTTGCCCACCTGTCCATTCAGGTCATCGATCCTTGTCCATGAGAGTGTGACGGACCGACAGAGAGAGTGGCACTCACTCTATGTCATAATCCGCCCGCGCCAACGAAAACGGCAGTTCGACCGACAATTAACCTGTTAGTCGACAATTAAGGTGAACGAGCTATCGACCCCTTCGGCATGCATACGAACGAAAGCAGCGGAGGGATGTGGCTGTTTGGCATGTGTTGTGTGCAGACAGACCCTGACTGAGTGGACGCAAGAACGTGTCCGTTATACGGACGGCAGACGACCAACACAGGCGGCGTTCGTTCGTTGTCAAGGTAGGTGTGTCACTCACGAGCTTCGGCGCCGTGGCTACGCTGCCGAGGCAGGCAGCCGAGTGTGACCAGGCTGCCGGGCTGCTCCGAGACGACAACACACGCCCGCTGGTGGTGAGTCTGAATAAACAAGGCAGAAAGATTCATCGCCCTTCTCTCTCATATATATTGTCTTTGTCTCTTCCCTCTGCAGCCAGCCACTAGTGGACTGACTCAGTTGGGAGGCACACCTGGGAGGGCAACGAGGAGCGCAGCGACTGGGAGCTGTACTTGGGTGACGTCAAGAAAACACATGAGTATATCCTCTCCACCCATCGGCTGACGTTCTTTGTTCTCGCAGAGGCCCTCCAACTCGATGGATGAATTGATGGGTGCCTGGGTGACGCATATGTGTGCACACGCGCCTGCCTGCCTGCCTGTCTATCTATCTATCTCGCCTGTGTGGCCCTTCCTTCGCCACTGTGGGCCTCCCCGCAGCCCAGTGTCCGTGTCAGTCAGTCGTCCGTATGCTGCCAGTGAGTGCGTGCACGACCTGTGTCTGTCTATCCGGTGCCTGTGCCGGCCGTGCGCAAGCCTAGAGAGATACAGTACCTGCTTGTGTGACTGACTGACTGACTCGTGTGTGTCGTCGCCATTCATTCGCCCATGTATCGGTGCATTCATGGTGGATACGTACGTGTGGATGACGCCGCGGGGTGGACAGATGCTCTTGCCTTGTCTTGCCTTGTCTTGTCTTGTCTTGTCTTGTCTTCCTCTGGTATGACGCGTTCTTGATTGACTGGTCCAGCGGCTATTTGTGCTGTCTGGCTGTCTGCAATGGCTGGATGGATGGCTGAGGTTTAAGTTTCCGGTTTGTCGCTCTGCCTGTCTGCCTTGCCTGGGTGTGTGCCCGCCCTTGGTGACACCGGACATGTTGCCTGTCTCGCAGGACAGACAGACACACAAACACGCCGAGAGATGTGGCTGAATGATGGATGGATCGACAGTATGTGTTTATTGCTGGTGCTGGGGGGGAGGGGCTGGCCGTCGGCCGTGTCTGTGCGCTGGTGGAGTGGGAGAGCGACCCGGACGAAGGAGAGGCGCGCATGACCGTGTGCCTTCCCGATGCTTCCGAGCGCCACAACACAGCACAGCAGTGGCCAAGTAGCTAGCAATCATGCGAGAGGAGAACATGGCCACCCCATCCATTAATTTCATCAGTAAGTATGCGATCGATGTTTGTAAAGATGCGGTGGATGGATGGATGGATGTGTGGATGCGTGGACACATGTGCTGCCATCCATGGCTTACGTGGTTAATTGATGGCTGATGTGGTGCATGGTGGACCGAGTCCAATCCGTGTCTCTGTGTACGATGTCACCTGACTGCGTCACCCGTGGGTCTATCGCCAGCAGTGAGGTCCGTTGCCAGCACCTGCACACGCTGGTGGAGCCGCTCGCGGTCGTTGGCTGCTGTCGCGGCTCGTTGTCGGTTGTTGACAGCTTGACGATTTTCGCCTCGGCCAGGTCTGCCTCGTCGTACGCCTGACCTGAACGCCAAACACAATACCGAACACACGTGTGTGTGTGGAGGGGTGGTGGGGGGTGGGCAGGAAGGACGGCAGGACAGGTGCGTAATGCGTGCCTTCACAATGAGTGCAGGGAGAAAGGAACACTTGAGTAAACTTGCCCGAGTGCATGCACCAAGTTGTGTTCGTGTGCTGCTGCAAATGCCGAGGTATATACAGCTTCACCGTGCCAAAAAGGGCACACACACACACACACACACACAAAACCACTCAAACACACGATCCATCATGGCATACCACCGACTGCCGCCCTCCCTCGTTATCGCCCGTCCGTCTGACGCCCTCCCTGCGCTCATCTGCTGTCGACGAGAGCACCTGCCACCCCTCCACCTCTATGACATTGCCATTCATGGACCTCGCCAGAGTGCCGCAGTCGCGCCGGTTCACATCCCCACGGTAAGCCTCTTGGAGGTGCTCGCCACCGATGTACTGATGCATGCTCCGCACATCGTTTGTCGGCCCCCGGCAGTCGCTGAGGTCGCTCTTGATGGATGTGTGGTCTCCAGCCACCTTTATCAGCCGTCGTTCTGGCGGCACGGCGATCTTGATTGGCGTGTCGAAAGCGCCTCTGAATGAGAAGAACCAGAGGCGGCACCTGTCCTGGCCTGTGCATCTGTTGGTCCGGGGTCCTATGTAGCAGCTGTTGGTCCTATATGAGATGAGCAGCAGCAGGGGAGACGCACTGCCGACTCGCCTGAGCATGTCCGTGACCGTAAAGCCGTCGCGACTGCCCCTGAGAGAAGAAACAAGAGAAAGAGGGGCGTCCATCTAGGCTGCTTGATGGCCCGCTGCGCATCCGCCCACCACCCCACGCACCTGTACAATAGCTTGATGGACTGCCAATGTCCGATCCACTTGCGCAAAGCGAGCACCTTATCTAAGGCTCGGAAACTGCGAGCACACGCCAACCGACACAGATGATACCCAACACACGTGGCGCCACGAGCCATGGATGGGGTGCCCGCATACCTTGAGTGTGGCGTCAGATGGTGTCACCTCCCTCTCGACAGCAAGGGCCTGCAGCCGCTTGTCGGTGTCGCTCTGCGCCGCCTTGACAGAGGCACCCAGGCTAGGCTGGCCAGATCCCGACGGCCGCGAGCGATTGGTGCCACTGACCGTCGAAGATCAAACGCCCAGACGTGCGAGTGACGAAGGCAGCACGATGGTGTACGTGGTGTGCTCACCTTGTGAATGAGAAGCCCGCCGAAGAGCAGCACGGTCAGAGGGACCGTACAGTCCAGCCAACCTCCTGCAGTACTGTACACAAACACGGCACCACACCAAGCAAATCGTCTCTCCGCCTTTCGCACCTCGCCTCACCTCTCCGTTGGGACCATGGTCTCTCCCAGTGTTTTCCACCAGTGATTGCCTCCAGGAGCACACGTTGACACCCTTGACGGATGCCCCGACTGCGGTTCGGCACCGCAGATCTCAGCACACGACTGAACATCTGAATGACGAACGGCGGCAATACCGGGTGGGACGAAGATGCCTTCTCTCTCGCCGCTGCGAGCTTGAAACGTGATGGTAGGCTGGTTCCAGGAAGGGCAAGGGTGCTTTTTGCCATCATGTTTGAAGGCAGATCCAACAAGGAGAATGGAAAGCACGTGCATGCATTCATGACAATGACATGGATGTGGATCTATGGCACTCAATCGATCGGTGGTGTGAGCCACTCATCCCCCACTACCGACTCACTGCCCTTGTCACTCGGGCGAACCCACAGATGGCAAGCCACCGCACAGCAGTGTTTGTCTCAAAAAGCGGCAGCCGAGCATTCGGTCGGCATTGTCTCGCGCCTGTCTGTACACTGACTAGCTATTCACACTGCCAACTATATCTCCCCCTCCTCGGTCGACGTGGATGCGCCCTCATTGCGAGCCCTCCTCGTCCTCCTCGTCCTCCTCCTCATCGTCCTCGACAGATGAGGGTGGTGGTGGCACTATACCCGGCAGATGTTGTTGTGGCGATGATGTTGGCGATGGTGGCGGGGGCCCTAATGACGGAGCCGCAGGCGATGATGTTGGCGATCCTGGCGGGGGTGGTGGGGGAGGGTCCCTGCAGCCCTCCCCATCGTCGAGCCTCATCTTCTCGTCATCAGCATCGCTGTCGTCCCACGGCCATATCACCATCTTGACTGTCAACTGGTGCTCACGCGGCCGGGCTGCCAGGTCCTTAACCGACGAGTCCTGCCCATCGTAGCGCTTGTAGAACATGGGCCGACGCAGCTCCATGCCATAATCGGCCATGTCCCCGCGCACACGGCTTTGGCGGAACAGGGAATCGAGATCGCGCTCGACTTGGGAAGCGTTGCCGGGGGTGGTGAAGATGTCTGCTCGTTCGTTGAGCTTGAAGGTGGCGCGTTTGGGCCGCAGCTCGTGGACGAGGCGGAAGAGGTCCCGCAGCCGCTCGGGGACGCTCGGTAGATGCCCTCGTAGATCAGCATTCTGATGGGACTGATCTCGATGCTGAGCTCTTGCACTCTGGGGTACTGGCGGGCGGTGTTGGGTGACGGGAAGGCGACAGGGGCGGCCGCCTTGGTGGGGGGGCGGTCGAAGGAGAGCGGCTCGTCGTACCATATCTCCAACTTCTGCGACCCAAGTAAGAAGGGTTGATTCAGAGGGAGGGATGTGCCCGTGTCATGTGTCTGTACCTTGAGTGGCTTGGCGATGCCCTGCTGGATGTATGCGAGCACTTCAGAGGCCATGATGGCGTGGGCCGTGAAGTACAAGAGATTCACGTGTGTGAGGGCGGGGAGGGATGAAAGGAGGCTCGAGAGTCGGTTGGGCGTGGTGGGCGGGATGAGGTACTCGGGGTCGCACGTCGAGACACCATCTGAGCCATTCTTGCCTTCCTGTAGGCGGAGCCTCGTCACGTTGCTGAATTGACACATACACGCGCAGAAAATGAGCCAGTCGCGTTCATCGCCCTTGTTGTTGGCCTCACTCACCTGAGTGACTTGAGCGTGGTCTCCTCAGTCAGCCATCGGGGGATCCAATCGAATGACTCGGCATCGACATCGGGGCCGTCGGTGCTGAGTTCGATGTCGAGTCTGCATGCGTTGTCGAACTGGATGCCGCTGAAATGCGGGCTGGTGGGATCGCCTGATCCAGCACCGTATCCATCCAACGACACTCTGTCCCCCCCTGCCGCGTGCCGTTTGATAGTCTCCACGAGCTCGAGGGTCTCGGCGGTCGGGGGGCCCTCGGTCGTCTCACCACGGCATTTTATGGATGTCGTCCCTCCCTCCCTCACCACCTCCCATCCCAGATCCTCTTCCGCCTGAATCGTCTTCACCGAGTCTCCATCAAAGGACCACCCGGGTCGAACGGTCAAGCTACGGACGATGCGAAGGGGGCAGTCGACCTTTTGAGGTGTCGCTTCGTGGCGGCTCCCGGTGGGCAGGGCGAGGGGGACGGGGCCGCCCTTGCGCTGCTGGACGAGGCGGCCGCACCACCGCTGCTGTGTGGCGTCAGTTGCCGCAGCAGACTTACCACCCTGGGTGTCTCCTCGTTGCTTGCCCCCTCTCCCTGCAGCTTGAGGCGGCCGACGTGGCGCAGCTTCTTGAGCGATGGGAGGGCAGCAGCAGTGAGGGGCACGACGCATCTGCCATTGACGCTGCCGTAATGAGTGCAGCACAGCAGTGGGAAGATGTCCAGGTGGCTGGGGGCGGGGGATGAGCCCAGGATGAACGCCAGACTGCCATCAAATACGGCCCGCATGGATGCCGGCTTCAGCAAGGACCTTGCCGCAATTGCGACGCGGTATATCTCGAATCCAGAGCTGAGGACCTTGCCGGTGAGGCGCTCGAGTGCCGGGCAGACGAGCTTCTGCTGCTGGAAGAGATGCAGTCCGTCGAGGCTGACCGGTCAGACGAGCTTCTGCTGTGTCCACCTCAACCGACGTGACCGAGGGGAACACCGCATCGGGCCCCTTGACCTGTGCCAACGTCAGGCCGCTCGCCGCGTCCTCAGACCCTTCGTCTACATTGCCATCTGCGTCCGGCTGCTGCTTGGGTTGAGCCGTCTGGATGGCCTTGAGCGTGTCGGTGTGCTTCACCAGCTGCAGGGAGATGAAGGCGAACAGCCGCGCCCGGCCAATCTCCTCGACCTCCTCCTCCCTGGGCAGCAGGATGATGGCGTGCTGCTGCTGCTCGAACGTCACCCGGCTGCCGCCGGGTCCCCTGCAGCTAAGGCCGTGGTTGGGGCGGTGCCAGTTGATGACGCGGATCAGCGAGTAGATGACCCAGTAGAAGGCACGACTGATGCAGCTCATCGCCAGGCGCTCCTTGACGGACTGATACGATGACACGTTGAGCCAGAGGTCAAGCCCATCCAGAAGGCTCGTGAAAATCTTCGGCGAGGTGCGGTTGGATGAGTCATCACTCTGGGCCGGAGGGGCTGTGCGAAGGGCTTTGGCTGGCGGGCCGTCCATCGCTCACCACACACCCCAGAGATCAGCTACGCTACGCTGCGCTACAGCTTCCTGCAGATCCACGCACACATACGCACACACAGGACAGAGGATGACGCCGCATTGACGCGCCGTCTGTCGTGTTGTATCTCCCAAGCCGCTTACGGTTCGTGCGATGGAGTGCCGGCTGCATGACCCTCTCGTCCATCATTTCCCGGCGCCTCCGTGCATCATGTCACTCATGTTTGTCGGAATTTGAGGGTTGAGGGGGAGGGCTACCACAGCAACACCTTGGCGGCACCTTACCAAACAGTGCTCCTCGCAAGGAGCGTTGCTTGGCAGCCGGCGCTCCTTCTGTGCGAGCTTGAAGCCAGCAGATCTCTCCCCTTGGGTCTCTGTCTATGCTCTTTTCGTCTGTGCACATCTATCCAATGCTGTGAGGCCAACGCCGGATGGTGCTGAAGAACGGAGAGTGGCCTTCACGCCTGCTTTCGGCGTCAAGAGGAGGACGGCGTCGATGCCATCCTCGAGGACACAGAACTTCTTGCTCACGCAAGAGTGAGCAAGCAGATCCATGTGTGCTCTTGTCACTGTGTGGTTCTCTCCGGATGCGTGTGTGCCGGTGGCTTTGCAGTGGCGGTCGTCGACATATCTCAGCGCCGATGGCGTCGTCGTCGTCAGGGTACGATATGTCATAGGCTGATACAAACACAGCCTTCAGCCAGCCTGTGTGTGACATTTCAGGCTGTGAGTGCGCGCAATTTAGTCCAAGATGCCCTCATTCGTCTGTCTGCAGCTGTAAGCGCAACGAGAGCACCAGGACAAAGCGACTTGCCTGTCTGTTGTGCGTTGTGGTTTGTGCTACCCAGTTCACCCGTCCCCGCACAGGCGTAAGGAGAAGTGGCTATCTGCAACCTTCGACTGGCATCGCGCCTTAAGGACAGGGAACAGCTGCAGCTTACAATCGCTGGTGGGCACAGGGAGATAGACAAGGCAGACGAGGGGAGAGAGATACAGGATGGTGTATTGCTGTAGTGATGTGCTCGGCCGCATGCAGGTTAATTCAGGCAACGGGCCTATCAGCGGCATCATGTCAATCGCTGACGGCCATGGGGACGTCAAGCCTATGCTGCAGGGGGAAAGGAAGTCACCTCTGCTCACGGCGAGCAACCCGACAAGCACCAACCATGACAAGGATGCCTCTCATACGGCGCCATTTGTGCAGCAAGCGGCTCTCGCAAGAAGATCATGCGGCGGGGCATCGGTGGGGTCAGATCCAGCTGGTGCGCAGCCATCCTGACTGGATGCAGCCCTTCCAGTCCGTCACAGAGATCCGCTGCTGGATGCCCTCCTCGATGAATCAACAAAGCATGCTGGGTTGGAGGTCAGCGGGGCGCTGGTGCAGGCTGCTGCTGGGTACATACTATGTCGAGAGGCTGCCGGACGCGTCAGAGGAGACTTTGCAAAGAGTGGAAGAGAGACCTGAAGGTGATGATGCACACACACATGGGCACACGCACTCATGTGGTGCATATGTGTGCGTGCGTGCGTGCGTGTATGTGTGGTCAGGGGTTGAAGAACGATTCCCTCTCAGTACTGTTCCGCAGCGGCCTCACGGCACCCGACCTGGTCGACAAGATCCTTGAAGGCGTCGGCATAATGCACGGCACCTACTCGACCGGCGCGCCGCCATACAAGTGCTCATGCTCACCGGAACGGATCTGCTTCCGCGCCCCGAGTCAGAGCAGATCATCCTCAAACAGGAGATCCTCGAGATGACCTGCGCTTTCTGTGGGGAGGTGAGCCATGCCCCACACAGCACAGCACACCACACCCCTTCTCCCTCCCTCTGTGCCTCTTGACTACTGGCCGACCGCCATGTGTGTGGTGTCTGCAGGTCTACCACATCTCATGGGATCGTGTGAGGAAGCTACTCGACATCAGCGAGCAGGAAAACGAGATATCATGGAGAGAGGAGGCCCCCCAGGCCTTCGCCGTCGTCCGAGGCGTCGTCAGCGATAGCCTCTTCGCTGCGGCTTGCATCGCTCAACAGAGAGAGGGAGGAGCAGGGGGATGGTGCGGATGACACGGCGTAGGTAGAGAGATCGATGTGCGCCTGGGAATGAAGTGCGAGAGACTGTCGGTGTGGATGTGTGTCGTGTGTGCGAGGCAGGCTGGTGTTGTGTGGGGCGTGAAGAGGACCTCTTGTGTGAGTAATGAATGAGAGACCTGGTGCGTTTCTTCATAGACCATGGTTACGGACAAGACGAGTCGAATTGCACCACACACTCACTCACACACACTCACACACACAGACAGACAAGCCAACACTGGGGGGCAATGGCCAGCAGTTAGCAGAGACGAATTAAAGCACATCCTTCATGTGGACTCCGCTGCACCGAGACAACACATGGTGATGGAGAACCGACAGGCGAGAGTAGAGGAGCACACTTGTCTGTCTTCGTGTGGCTGTATGTGTGCAGCGCGCCTGACAGGACTGGGGACCCTCCAGTCACCACTACGAGCGGCCATCGGCTCTCTCCTCCCCCTCCTGCATGTGCAATCCGTCCCCGCGTCGGCAGATGATGCGTCATGGCGGCATCTGGATCAGGACAGGGCCACCCCCATACCCATCGCACATTGAAATGAAAGCGGTAGGGAGAGCCACCTCACCTACGGCCTGGCCTGTCCACGGATGCATTCGTTGGCTGCTGTTTGTATGATGTCTCCAGGCAAGTCATGGCTTACTGCCATGGCTGAGGCCGCCGTGCCATCCGTCGACAGGGGACTGCGTGAGCTCTTGTGTGAGCGTCACCTCACTGGCTGGGCGACGCCCTACCCCGTCAGGAGGCGGGCCAATCAGACGGAGGCCGTGGCTGTGCAAGAGGCAATGGACAGGTCAGCAACACGAGACAGAGAAACCATTCCATGCGAGTGTCTTCCTTTGGTCATCTGATCTGTCAACCAAACCAGGTTTGACGAGGGTTTCCGTGAGTCTGTCGAGTCCACGGTGTCTGCCATCAGCAGGGCCATCGCGTTGCAAAAGGAAACCACGGCACAGGACCAGGTAGGTGACAGATACACCAAACCACGCACGCACACTTGGGGCACTGATACACACTGATATACACATACTGATACACATACACACAGTTACTGCACGAGAAGGCTAAGGAGATCATCAGGAACGGAGCGGCAGCGGCGGAGGGCCAGAAGAGACGTCCGATGATGCGTTCAAAGACGTAAGCAGCTACACAGACACAGGAGACACACCAAGGCAACGTCGTTGCTGATTGGGTTGTGTTGTGTTGTGTGCCCAGCTGTTGATGGGCGAGTCGGCTGAGGGGGGCGGTGCGGGGCTGAAGGACACGAGAAGACAACTCGACCAAATGGTAAGAGGCGAGGCATGCACTCTCACCTGTATGTCAAATCAGTCATCTATTCCCCTGTGTCTGTCTCTTGGCTGCGTGTCTGTCGGCAGGGGAACAGCATCCCTCCTCCCTATCCCTTCCTGTCATCATCACAAGCCGAATCTCTTGTCCCCCACAGCATCGATCAAGCCGCGGCCCAGCCGCCACCACGCACGCAGCAGAAGAGGCGCCCGTCTCTGGATGAGGCTCGTGGCTGGGCTGAGGTGACACACTGACAGGGGCTGGGTGGATGGATGACAGGAAGGCATACGTCCATACGTCGATTTGTTCGTGAGGCGTCTTTATCCATCGGTGTGAGAGGTGTGTGTGTGTATGGTCAGCGACATGCATCGCCTGCGTGTGTGGGTACCTACATGTTTGATTGACGAGTGACTCGGGCGTGCAGTGCAGTCGCCATATGTGCATGTGTGTTTGTGGATTCACATATTCACGCCATACATATCATTTGTTTCATGAACACACGAAGTGATCGCCCCCCTCAGATGCCGACCAGTTTACTCACAGGCAAGCATGGATAAACCAATGTCTGTATAAGGAAGGCATTTGTCTGTATATACATTAAACTACACGTCCATCCACCGGCTGACACCACCACCAACTGCAACACGGACGACAGAAAAACAGACATATGAGGGGCGTGCAGCGGCCTTTTTTGCATCGTCCTGGCTGCCCTCACCGTGTTGTGTCATCTGTGTGTCTGTCTTCTACGGCGCCTCTCCGGCGAGCAAGACCGGTGCGACAGGGCCCAACGACCGCCGAGCCAGGGCTGCCGCACGCTGATATCTGGACGGGAACGGATCGCCCGGGCTGCCCACTGGCTGCTCAGTCGTTACCAGAGTGACCCTCACTGTCACATGAGAAAAGGGACAGACTGAGACTGTCTGCCTGTCTGTCCGCACTCGCAGCTCTCTCACTCACCGTTCTGACGGTCGTCAGGTCTGAAACGGAATCGGACCCAGGCTATGAAGGGGTCGTTGAATGCCGTCAGCAGATGAGTCTGATATACATTTCCATCGCCCCCTTCCGACCCCTCGACAGCTGAGCATCCGTCCAGTGGTGTGTGGGGCGACTGCGTCAGCACGCCGTCCAAATAGCCGCCCCTCACGCTACTGCACACACAGACAGACAGCGATCCACCGCCACGTCCGATGTGTGCCCCTGGAATACCTACCCATCGATGTCCATGCGCATGGTGTGGACGGGGGGACCGCTCCAGTAGTAATGGTAGATGATCATCTCCACGATGAAGGCGCTCATCGACACCTGAGTGCACTCACTTGGGCCTGCCGTCCAGCTGCCGCCGTCCTCGGCTTCTTCGTCGAAGGAGACGGCAAACTGGACGGGCGGGTCATCGTGCTTGATGTGCTGCTGGAAGGGGTGCTGCTGCAAGGGGTGCACGGCAGTGGTGGGCAGGGGCGGGTTGAGGGTGAGGGCGAACTCAGGCTCGTCGCGGATTGCGCGGATCTCGTTGGTGGCGGGGTCGCGGAAGAGCTCGAAGGTACCGTCCTGCTAGCCATTGGCACGACGGAAGGCCACGTGCCGACTGACGATCATCCACTGGGCTGTCACACGGGGCATCGACAAATAGGCCTGACACACAGGAGCACACGACGATGGATGCACCGCACCTTATTCTCCCCCTGTTGTGTGAGGTGAGATGCTCCCTTACCGTCTTGGTGTCGTGCTTCTGCAGGTCAACAGCGTCGATGGTGATGGGCAGTTGGCAGTAGCCACACTGACCCGCCACCCGCAGCCCCTTTCCCACCTCTCCCCAGCTGCCGCCCTCCTCCATCAGCCACAGCGCCTCCATCTCACCACCGTCGCCCAGCTGAGGCGCAAACCGCACCACGCCCGTCAGACCCGCCTTGTCCACGGCGACGGTCAGTCGGCGACGAAGGGCCATCTTGACGTGATCGTTGACGAGTCGTGCAGTCGTCTTGAGGCGGCCGACAGACTGCAGGTCTGTCGATGTCTGCAGACGAGCCATGGCGTCGGCCGAGAGGTCATCTAACTTGGCCTGACCATAGCAGACAGAAACAGCGCATCCGCTCAAAATTGTATCGGTTGGTATGCTCACTGACCGATGCATCAGTGCGTGACTGAGGGAAGGTGGCCGCCTTGACGAGGGCCTTGAGCGAGGCCCTCAACTTGGCGTACTGATGCAACGCAGCTATCATGTGGAGTGAACAATCCTGCAGCCATGCATTAATGACACACACATCCATACAAACAGACAGACAGACGTCGTTAACGCCACCGGTGGCGTGCGAATTCTCTTCTCGTTGTCCCAATGTCGGGCAGTGAGTGCTCTCTTCTGGAGGACATACGTGCGATGAGAGATCTACTGCGTCCAGTGCGGACAAGCGGTACATCAGGCAGCTGATCTGCAAGGAGCGACACACACGAGGAGAGAAGAGGAAGGCATCGTTTGGCTGTCAGTGCGTCAGTCCCATGTACCTCCGAGTGTTCCTGCTCCAGACCAGACATGCTGATGGCCGTCTGCGGCAAATCCACGGGGAATTGCTGCGCCATCCGGGTCACGTGAAACGTTTCTGAGTTGATCTTTTTGAGTTTTTGATTTGAATTCGGACCTCAAAGATGCCGCCGTTCGTCACCGTGATGGCCTTTTCGCTGCGAATCTTGACGGTGAATGGTGAAGATTCGCCGTCATTTCGTGGGCTGTCGTGGCGAGGTTGACTACAGCAGCAAGGGGCTCAACTGGTCCGAGGGTGAATGTGGAAGCGACCTGGTGAAAACACACACCCGAAGGTCGGATGGATGAATGGATGGATGGAACGATGGGTGGATTTTCATGTTTGTGTTGAGGGGGCGGGGCGTCACGTGGGCGTACGGCACCGCTGCCGGCGATGAGGGAGGGGTCACAGTGGCGCGAGCGTGTGTTCCACGGCAAGGGCATCGAGTGCTACGGAGAAGACGGTGGCATTTGGTCAACGAGGAAGAGTACGAGGGCCAGTGGAGCAAGGGAAGGCGCAACGGAGTCGGCATCGCCTATTTTCCTGACGGCAACCCTCACTTCAAGTGCCAGCGGAAGGACGACGAGATCGGCGAGAGAGAGGAGGTCATCGAACACTCCCACAACGTGAGCGAGACACGGATTCCCGGATGCCGCTCCTTTCAATGTCAATGTCCTGTTCTCAATGCAGGGCAACGTCAAATACAAAAGAGGCTTTCTTGATGGGCTGAGACACGGACACGGCACCGAATACGGTCTCTCGCTCTGACTCAAGAAGACGTGGGAGGAACGCATGTGTGTCCCACAGTGTGTGTCTCTCTCCAGATGATTACTACGGTCCTCGTCCAGAGCTGGGCGGCCGTGGCTTCGCCCACCACAAGGCGTATGAAGGGCATGGTCCAAGGGCGAGAAAGAGGGCCAGGGCACAATGTTCTACGAGGACGGATGCGAGATCCCACCATCCTGCCGCCGCCAACACACATGAGTCCATCTCTCTCTTCTGTGCCCGCAAATGCCAAGGAGAGTGGGCGAACGGCCTGCCATGGCTACGGCATCGAGTACGACCACGAGACGGGCGGCAGAAAATTCGAGGGCGAGTGGTGTTATGAGTGGTGTTATGAGAGCCATGAGAGCCCTATCTGAGTAGATGCAGGTGACAACAGAGCAGTCGTCTGCCGGTCGCATGCTCAGGTGTCGTCTTCAGCTTCTGTCCCTTGTGCGATCTCAGTCTCACACGTGGGGGGACACAGCAGGCAGAGAGAGAGCCTCGGTTGTCGCTAGTCCATGGAACCGATACACAGACAGACATGCAGTCGCAGCATGCATTTGTCAAGCCACCTACATATCTTTCTCGTGTGTGTGGCGGTGGATGAAGCCGGCGTTTTGGAGTCGTCACATCATGCAGCAGGTAGACTACACATCATGTGGTTCATGCAGATTGTCCGAAAAGGACGAGCCAATGAGTCAAGGCATCGAGGCTGGCAAAGGGCCGAGACGAGCACTGACTAGCTAGGTGATATCACATCGTACCAAAGCTGCGAGGGAGGGACGGGCTGTTAGAAGGAGGGGACGAGACAGACAATGAGGGCGAGTTTTTCCGTCGTGTGTGTGTGTCCATGTGATGATGTGAGGACGGGCGCATGACTTTATGAATCACATGATGACTGGTGTGAAGTCCATTACACGAACGGTGCGCGACTGAAGTTTTGGAGGATGGGGAAAGGATGTGCTTCTGTGGTTAGCACCCACTTGGACAAGTCAAGCCAACCAGTTTGAGGTCCGCTGGCGGCGTCTGGATGAGTCGGCTGTGCGAACAGCATGAAAAAGTACTTGAGGGTCTCGGCAGTCCAGAAAGATTCCATCTGATCCAGACGCTTCGGAGGCACCTGCCATATAGAACACACACACACAGTCACAAAACTCATGCCAGCCCCTTCCTGTCTGCTTGCATCCAACAGACCTCTGTGACCGCTTCCAGAGCGGCGAAGGCAACGTCGGTCTTGCAGTGAGTGAGTATGGCCTGGAGCATGGCAGCGCCCCACACGCGATACCTGGGGTCGCCCGTAAAGTAATGCAAATAGTACAGCGACTCCACGGCCTCAGGCCTACATGGCAATCAAGGACAGGGTACTTGATCGTGTGCGTAAGTGGCACATCGATGGTTGAATCCCCTGGCCTTACCTGAGAAGATAGTGTGCCCCTCTGGCGGGATAGGTGAGGTCTTCTTTGTCCTCCATCTCCATCTCGGGCTTCAGACGGACAAACTCAGGACCCACGCCTATCAAGACGCGCATGTGCACCAGTCAAATAAGTGCTCCATACAAATTCTCACCCACCCACTGGCCCACCTGTGGGCGACCTGGCATACATGTGATAGCATGTCCGGGCCAGCCCGTGGGCCTGCGACCTCCACCGGGCCAGCTCTGCGGCAGTGACGTTCATGCCACTCCACAGCTGCCTGTTGTGGTCTTTCTCCAGCACATGCACTCCCAGAAGGACCATACCCGGCACAAAGCCTGCAGAGCATTGTGTTGGTCAGCGGAATACTCATAGACCCGCTGTGCTAACAGGTGAGGTGGTGGTGGAAGAAGTGTCTCGCTGGGCCCTCAACCTCAAAGAGAAAGAGCAGCCGCGACACCTTCGTTTCGCTCGTGAGGTACTCGAACATGTCTCGGACAGCGCTCACCCAGCCGTCCAGGAAGTGTTGTTCTGTCTGCACGCAATCGAAGAGACGGACTTGCAAGGCAGACGGGTTTCGTTCGGTCAATTCGGTAGATGCAAGCCGACCTCGTTTGTCTGAATGTACTGTTTGAGCAGGTATTCGTAGTATGAGTCTGACTCGCTGGACATCGATATCTTATAGCCACTGAACACTGACAAGACAAACAAAACAAAGCAAGAGCACGTGTTCGGTGCATTTTCGCTTAGCGCACACGGGGGATCGGTCTTGCTTAGTCGGCATGGTAGTAAATGGACCTCGCTCGCTTCAGCAGCCTGATATGCCAACGTTTGGTATTGGTAAGCAGTGGTCAGATACGATTTGCTCTCGTGTGCGTGGACCACCTTTCGAATGGCCCGCAGCGCTCGGTCCGCAGCTCTCTGAAATCTGAACAGCAGAACGGCTGCCGATGGATGAACCATCGCATACCACTCTGGCTGTACTGCCATGGCATGCCTGTTGTCTTTGGTGAGATATGACAGGTACCGCATCTCAAGCTGAATGCTGCCCTGCTCTGAAAGGATGGGGGCCTCCGTGTCCAACACAGCTGTGCCGTTGCCCAAAACAATCTCCCGGCTGAACCCAAATCGAGAGAGAGCAAAGACACAGACGAACTGACACAGTTGGCCGCGTTCCGGTCTAGCTTTCGACTGCTCGCATTACAGAAAAAACCCAGCCGGTGTGACGAATCCTTGCAGCAGGCGCATCCCCAGATCCTTTGCCTTGTCCAAGAACACACGCGAGCCGGACAGGGCGTGGGCGGAAAGCAGACCGGCCAGCAGCCGGATGGTGATCTCGAAGACGCTGCCACGCCCAGCCTTGTCGAGGTCCAAGTATTGTCGCACCCACGCCTCACCCTATATAGACAATACACACGGAAAATCGACTGACAGATGCCATCGTTGTGTGATGATTCGTATTCGTGTGTCTCTTCCAGCCCACCTGCCTGAACTCCTCGTGGAGGCCCATCAACCACAGAGTCGACAGCGAGTCGATCAGGGTAACTCCTGCACTGCATATGAGGAGAACAGCGCGTACAAATGAATGCCGCACAAGACACCTGTAGGAATGCCTGACCCGATCCAGTCCTTGTGTTTCTTTGACAATGGGAGAAGTTCGTCGTGTCCCCACGCAAAGAGCTTATACCCTCGCCAGCTATGTTGCATTGCAGAGACGGCCTGACGAACGGAAATCAAGGCCATATGCCAGCTGAGGGAATAATCATGATTTCTTTGTTACCTCTTCTTGCCAGTAGTCAGCGAAAGCCTGAGAGAGCAGAAGCTCTTCTTGGCTGAAGTTTGCCAGCCATGAGCGTGGGAATGCGCCGTCTTGAGTGGCCCCCGGCCCTTCCTTTTCACCCTTCCCGTGCTTTTCGCCCTTCTCTTGTTCAAAGATAGGCGAGGCGAGATGCGGGTCGCTTTGCCACTTTCGAGGGCCTCCACGCTCGGGTTCTCTGCTGTCACCGGATGAAGCGTGAAGGACATGTCTCACTCTGGTGAAGGTTGCTGCGTTTCGTGGCGTCAGGTCTGGGGCAAATGTGAGCCACATTGACACTTGCCACCAACTGGTTGGGTAATTGAAGCCATCCTGTGTGGATGTATCGCCCCCGGCTGCCAATCTCACGGCCATGGCCGAAAGGAGAGGACTCTCCTGGCTGGCGTACAGGCTCAAGAGAGAAATGCTGTGGAAATCCAAGATGCTGCTGACGTTCAGATGAGCGAGAGAGGGGGATGATGGCGTCAATGCCACAGTGCTCAGGGGAAAGCTGATCAGCCGCGCCTCTGCTACATTTCCACGTAGCCCAGCCATGCGATAGGCCATTCCCGAAGGATTGGCTCTCTCCAATATGCTTTCAGTGGACGGTGGCTGCCCTAGAATGAAAGACGAAAGCAGCTGGTCAGCCACGCGCCTTTTCTCCGTCGCCCCTCGCCTTGTGGTGGCCCAATACAGCACTGCAGGCAAGGAATTAACAGCCGCCCAAGCGCGATGGATCCCAGCGAATAGCCAGTGAGACGGCCAGCCCCTCTTGAGTCGTCCGTGCTCCCTCCCAGCGATACCATCCACAGACACACATTCTGGTGCAGAGTCGAGCGGGGAGAGAAGGCCAGAGTCCGCCACGACGGTTTCATTGGACAGGACAAGAAGGCGCATCGTCGGCAGAGAACGAGAAGACGGGGAACACTGCGATCGCAGCACTGCAAACCCAATGCGGCTCCACAAGCGAGGAGCCACCACAGGATGGGAGCTGCGAAGACGAACAGTGCGACTTCTTTTCCTTGAGACCTGGAGCTGGGCCCGTCCGTCATCAAGGATGCTGAAAGCAAAGGCGATGCCGTCGGACAGGCCCTGTTGGCCGCAGCACGACCCTTCGACCCATCCATCGCTGGCAAAGACAACCGACGCTGTCAAGCTCTCTCCGGGACTCCATTGCAACACACCGGAGAACACCAAGCTGCCGTGGGCTGGAATGGACGTCGAGCACAGCAGTGCATCTTGTCCAGAGAAGGCAAACATTCCTCGGTAGATTGGGCGGTCCTCATCATGGTGGAAAGCTGAAGACGCTACCGGAGGCCGCCGAGCCGCAGGGACGTCCACAGGGGCATGCGACGGCCCGGATTTGCCAGGGGAGAAGGAATCCATGTAGATGGTGCCGATGAGCCACAACAATGCAGCTCCCGCCATCGCCGCAGCAAGGAACTGGTGGAACATACTGCCTCCCTCATTCGGCTGTCGTTGTGTGGCTGGTCCATTTCTCTTGTCGTGGATTGGCAGAGAAGGGGGCGACGAATGACGTCGACGCCGCAGCTCCATTGCTGGCCTCTCGACTCCCCATTTCCCCGCTTCCGCTTGTAAATTCTGTCAGGGCATCAGCTTGTTAGTACCAAATGGTGGACCTAGTGGCGTCAGAATTCTCTCGTCGCGTGCATCGTGTGAAGGATCTGGCCCTCCTCTCATCGGCGGATGAAAAGAGCCCTGCTCACCTGACGGCCCTTCACGCTGCACTCACCGATGCAGAGCGCGTGGCAGAGCTTCTGGAGGGTCGACTCGAGGACGAACGTGCACACCTCAAGACGCTGCAGGTGGCCCATCGACAGATAATCAACAGCTGAAAGCAGACGCCAGATCTCTGATATGTGGATGGATGGTGTGTGCAGGATGCTTACGATGCGAGCGTGAAGGCACAACAGGAGACTATCAGCCCTCTGGTCGCCATCGCATCTCGCGTTTGCACCGGGACAGCGAACCTGACCCACGCGGCGTACGTATGCAACCATGTGATGCAACCATGATGTTGTTGACGTCACAATGACGGTCACATCGCACTTGTGGGGGTGGTTCAGTGTATGCATCGGGTGGGTGGTGGTCTCTGTGTGCAGGTGTGAGGGCGGGAAGGAGTCACCCCACAACCCACAACCACAGCCACCAGTAGCTGCAGTAGCAGGCCGGAAGGACACAAACCGGCGGCAGGTGAGAGGGTGCAGGGAAAGGGGCAGCTGCATGATTGCGCAAAGAAGATGTGCATATCTGTGCTGCTCTTGTTGCGTGTGGTGGGCGCATGGTGCAGGTGCCGGCCATCCGCAAGGTGACGGAGCACGAGCTCAACAGCGTACCACAATACCAGCGAGGCCGTCTATCGCTAGACGTCAGCCACCCTTTCACCCATGAGGTGCATTCACTCATGTCTGCCTGCCTGTATGGCGTGGCGTCGTGTGCAGCGTCTCAATCGCGCCATAGATGCCCTGGACGCGTTCTTGGTGCGCAAGTATCGGCTGCTGGACACTTCGCCCGACAAGCTCAGGACAGCCGACGATATCCGCGACGCACATGTACGTGACGGTGACGTCGGCTGACTGATGCATACAGACAAATAGACAGACAGACAGACAGACAGGTGGATGGATGGATGGATGGATGAGACCGTCACTGTCTGTCTATGTGTGTGAATAATCCATCCATCAGGCGTACCGCAAGGGTGAGAGTCGCGATCTGAGGAAGTATATCTGTTTCAGTGACGACGACGCCAAAACAATCGACGCCATCCGCCTCGATGCAACAGGTGAGCCACGGAGATGTCAGCCATTGAATTTCAGACACCTGTTTTTTCGTGTGACGGACGCCTCTCTTTGTGTGCCCCGCTTGCCTGTGGGTGTTCTGTGCAGGTCGATGTGTGTTGTCGTGTCTGCGCGCGTTGCGGCGCATCCACGTGGTCAAGGTGGGGGGCTGCTCAATGATGACATACGCCCTCACTCGCGACACGGCCGACCAGTGACTGAGGGACCGACGTGTAGAAAGCAGCGGATGGGTGAGTCAGTGGCTGGTATTATGTATGTAGCCGCGCCAGTGGGTGGGTGTGTGTAGCTTCAGCGGGGCCGTGGACATGATGGCTCCCTTCACGGCGTGTTGATTGAGTCGATGATCCATTCGCTGGCTTCCCCCCACTCTCACCGTGTCCGTCCTTCTGCCTCAACTTGCAGACACAATGGTCTGGCCGTTTCCTCAGGCTCAGACCGATCACACACATACGATGACCGAAGAAATGCCTGTCCACTATCATCTTGGAAGGGGATGGGCGCATTTCGGTGGGCGTCTCGCCCCCTCGGGCGTCTCGCCGAAATCCCCGAGACATCCCCCGCCTAGCAGCTCTTTGCGTCCGTCCGTAGCAGTCTTTGCGTCCGTCCAAACATCTCTAAGTGGCCCGAGTGTACGCACACATCGTTTCCGACATTCGATGCGTCGTTTCAACTTCGCTGCCGTCCTGTTGGTCGGCCTCTCCGCCATCGGGCAGCCTCTCCTGGCGGCCCAGCGCAACTATGACCGACGTAAGCCAAGCGGGGGCACACACACCGCCGGCATGCATCATGGCAGGTCGACCTGCTTCCATTGTGTGCATTTGTATGGCTGTTTTCTGTGATGTATGGCCCTAGAGATGTCGGTGGCCGCTCATGAGCTCGGTAGGTGACCGCCCCCACCCACCTCAGACTGCCCTGCCATCCCACATTGCAATGTGGCGTGTGTTGGCAGGTGCCCCGCAGATTTCATCGGTGCAGCTGCAGCTCAACCACACCATGGCCACCCTTACTGCGGCCCACGAACTGAACACTGCCGCCGTCCGGCTGATCCGCACAGCCGCAACCAGCTTTGATAACGCCCACCGCATGTTCAAGCTGTGCCCCGACCAGAATGGTGAGTGATCAAGTCCACACGCACATACATATGCTCCTTTTGTAGAGACCAATGTCATTCGTGTGCCTGGCAGTCTGCGACGTTCCTTATTCCTTCCCTGAAGCCGCCATGGCTCACATGAACACCACTCAACTTGAAAACGGTCAGAGATACTTCCCACCCTCTGTGAATGCCTGTGTGCATGTGTATCTCTCTGTTAATGTATGTGTGTGTGCATACCGCAGCACAGAAGCCGACGAAAGAGGCCGGCGGATACACGCAGGATGGTGGGCCAGCATAACATCAGCCACGCCTTCATGTTTTGCATGTCTTATGGCGTCATGTCTTCCCTCGAATGCATGTCTGTGTTGCGGCGTTCTGTTAAAGGGGAGACGGCAGGCAACACATCATCGTCCTCACAAGAGCCGGGGGATCTCTTGTTCCAATTCATTGCTCATCATCTAGACAAGTCACTCGAACAACGCGACCGCTCGGATACAACAAGCTGGGGTACTGTTCTTGACGCTGGCACCGGAATGCACTCTCTGGCGTGGCTTGTGGCGCAGCAGAAGAAAACTGCGAAGCTTGTCGCCGTCACAGCGAGTCCAAGTCAGGCCGAGGCCCTACAGCAACAATTCAAGGATAAGCTGCGGCCCCAAGATGAGATACTCACTGGAGATTGGGCCGATTCGACATTTCTCAGCAACTTTCAAGCCGATGTCATTGCCGCCGACTACCTCATCGGGGCAATAGACGGATTCTCACCTTATTTTCAAGATCGAATCTTTTCTCGCCTCGTTCAGCACCTCAAGCCGGGCGGATGGCTGTACGTTGTCGGACTTGAACCGTTCTCGAACAGCGAGCCGACGTCCAAGGCGACCGAGCTCCTCCAGCAAGTTGCGAGAGTCCGAGATGCGTGTATTCTTCTCGCTGGCCATCGATGCTACCGTGAGTATCCGCAGGAATGGGTTCATCGTCAACTAGAGCAGGTCAAATGTCGTATGGACGCGAGCGAGCGATGGCCCAATGTCTATTCAGCTCGACAAGTCGAGCGTCAGGTTCGTCTTCAACTTAGCTAATGGCAGATTCTCCACCTCCTTCTTGACTTTGGTGGTTGTAGATCCAAGTGGGGAGGGACAAATTGCCCTTCTTTCCCGATACTCAGCTTGCCGATGAAATGGCGAAGTATCTCGACCAATTGTCCCAAGAGACACGGAAGCCTTGCAGCAACGACCAGACGCACTCGTTTGGGTTTGACTATGTCGTCTGCGCCGAACACCAGCCAGAAAGCTCGTCATAGCTAAAAAGCAAGTATGCGTTACTAGCATCGACAGAGACAATGAGACGCTAGTTGAAATACACATGTACAAGTCAATACTTGTCGCTCTAATATACACAAATGCATCCGTCCGTGTACGTGGAAGTCCACCCATCCACCACACACAGCAATTAACCGCCACCTGCCTTTTCCAGCTGCCATGCATGATGGATGCATGCATGTATTCATTCAGTCCTGGTCTGTCTGTCTGTCTCTTCACAAGCAAGGGGCGGCGACACACACCTCCTGACACTCTTGCGGCACACACCTCACCTTGGCTTGATCACAGCCCCATGCGCGTGGCATCACAAGCACACGTAGCGGATGGGTGCACTGGGTGACTGTGTGTACAATCAAACGCGGCGCATACACAACACGCTGGCCACACGTGTCTCTCTCGACGTCTGTTGTTCTGCCCATGTAGGTCTTGTGAATGGTCCGGGCAGCGTGGGGTGTATATTGGAGGGGAGTCTCGATTGCCCTCCTCCTTCTCACTGCGGGGGCTCTCACTCGTCGCTTCTCATCAGTACTGGCTGCGTGGCGAACCGGGACAAACGGCATGCCCGGCAAACAGGGACGACAACGGAGAGAAAGGCGCGGACGACGCGCGAACAAATCATTTCCCTACCTGCCTACCTGCCTTCCTGCCTCCCTGCCTCCCTGCCTCCCTGCCTCCCTCCGTCCCGGTGTGCCTGCCTGCTGGCTGCCTCCGTCTTTCACCCGACTGATGTGCTCTTGAGTAGGTCGGTCACAGTGTCGAGGCGGCCAACCATCTCTGCTCCCCTATGCGGTCAGCCACCTCTGCTCTCAACCCTTGCCAAAGAGAAAAAGAAAGAGGAACTGACATGAGGGCATCGATGGATGTGCAGACCCTACTTACCTTTTTGTCGATCATGTCGCGTTTGACGTTGTCCCAGGGCTCTTTGTCGAGCTTGTCGTTGGCCGAGCAGATGGGGCGGAACTTCTGCTGCGGTATGGCATGCCACACACTTCCGTGATCGCTTCCAACAGCTTCCTGACACAAGGATGCGCACATTCACAGCTCCACTGACCCACTCACTCGCCCACCCACCTGTGTTTGACTTTGACTTGGCAGCCCCCATTGGGAAAGAGTCGGTCCAAAATCTCTGACTCCCCATTCTTTTCCTATGCTGAGTAGCCAAGATACACAACACGTGCAATCCATACAGTGCTCATGTCTCTCTCTCTCTGTGCGTTCCTGTGTGCCCACTCAGAGACACACAGTGTCGTTGGCGATCCGAGCACCCTTAAGGGATGGCCTCTGCACTAATCGCTTTCGCCGGTCCGACAGATGCTCGGCTTCGGGCCTCGCCTTCGTGTCTCACTAAATGGGATATCGACAGTCCACTTGCTGTATCGACAAGCTGCTTGCTGTCGCGCAGTTCTGAGTGACTGACAGACAGACTGGCGACTGAAGCCGCCTCCTGCGTTCTCATTCCAGCCGCTCTGCTTAACTGAGCGATTGATGCTTCAGCCAACAGCACTTCAACCACCTATGCATCCATCTCTCGTTTAAAAGAAAACAGCTAAGAAGAGCAAGCAAAAGGAAAACAGGGAAAGAGAAAAAAGAAGGGGAAAAATGAGAGAAGAAACGGGCCGTTGTGGACGTTGTACGCTGTGTCTTCCCCAATCCAATCCACCTGCCAACCATTTCTATGCATTCTTTCTGCCTACTTGTTGGCTGATGTGTCTTTTCCTGGGGCTAACCACCCCGGCTTGAAGGATTGTGTGTGGCTCTGCTGCTGAGTGGGAGAGCCATTCATCAAACTGAAATCACGAAACATCACTCACACGAGAAAGTGAGAGACACACTCATGACACGCACGATGCGGTGTGGCGTCTCGCTGTCTCTTTCTCTCTCTCTGCCTGCCTCGTGTCGGTGTTAGCGCACCGTGTCGGCCACTGGAGGGCCGTGCTTCTGAGGAAACTGTGATGGCTCGCCGCCAAATATCGGCGTCGTCCTTAGACGGGAACCATTGGCGAAAAGCGCTCAATGAGGGTGGGATGAGAATGAGATTGGTGGTCGGTGGTCAAATGGAGAGAAGCTTCCAGAACAGACCACTTTGAGTACGTTGATGCTACACAAACCATTTATTTGTCTCGTGGCGTGGCAGGGACCGTCCGTTCGATCGTCGATGAAAAGCAAGAGAACAAGCAGCCAGGCAGGTAGTGAATGACGAATGTCTCCTTCCACTCCTATGGGTGCGGGACCGGTGCTTGCTTAAGCTTCCTTTCCTCTCTCGTCACCTTTTTACTGACTCACGTGACTCTCTGCTGACCTGACGTGCGTATCTTTTGCTGTCCGTCCGGCTGTGTGTGGTGTGTGGTGTGTGCGCTTTTTGACGCGCACACACGGAGAGAGAGGTTGGTCTTTTAGAGAGATGCAGAGTGTGCGTGTGTACGTAGTGGGCCGGTAAGGTCAGTGCTGTCCGTCAGTCAGTCAGTCGGTCCGTCAGCACGCACATAAACTGACTGAAATGTGCGGGGCACATTGATATGGTCGAGGACCGGAAGCGCTGTCGCCGTCTTGTGCAGACATCATCACTATAGACCACACACACACACACAGAGGTGCTGTGTGGTGTATCCCTGCCCATCCATTCACTCACCTTCCACGGTGAGACGATGGACGGCCGCTAACGGCCGCGGATCTACAGACGGAATGGAGGGAAACCAGATCTTCAGTGCAACTATGACAAAGGAGTCACACTCCGTCGCGTACCAACCCACATACGACAATTCCCCACAAATGCCGCATCGCAGGGCGATCGCCGCCAAGCTCGCAAAGGAGGGGACTATGCGCAAGTGGACTCCCCGATTTTGCGCTCTTTTTTCTTCGCGCAGCGGCTTCCGCGTACCATCGCAAGAGTAGAAATGGAGTCGGTGGAGACCACGACGCAGCGCCCCTCTCCGTGTCGCCCCAGGGCGCATCGGCCAACGCGTCGGCGTTGTTGGAATCCATCCGCACGGAGGAGGGCTACAACCAGATGGTGGCCGAACGAGGCCTTCAAGCCGTGGAGGCCAAGATCTCTGCCGTCATGACCGAGATCTCCACCAGCATCGCCGCAACTCCCGACAGCACTTCGCAGCTGCTGCAGCCACTCGTCCAGCTGGTTTCCCTCAGGCATGTGCCGTGCATCACCCAGAAGGCCTTTGATGCAGACATCCTGCCGATGCTGAAGGAGCAGCTGGGCGACGACCGCCACCCCGACCACCAGCAACAGGCGGCATCCGCACTGGACGACATCGCATCAGTCGGCATCCCCACTGGACGAAATCGCATTGGACGACATCACATCCCGCCAGAGATGCAGGCCGTCATCGACGCGGGTGCCGTCCCGCACCTCGTGCAGCTGGTGTCGTCACCCGACGAAGGCGTGTGTCTGGCGGCAATGAAGGCACTGGCCAATCTCAGCGACCCAATACTCCTGGGCGAGCAGCGCGGCAACATTCTGCAACTGGGAGTCCTCGAGCGACTGCAGACGACGATGCGCGAGAAAACGTCGTTCGTGGTGCTCCGCTTGGGTGCAGACCTAATGTGGAGGCTGTGCCTCCGGAACCCCCACCCACCCGCATCCGATGCCGTCGCGCCGTTCGTGCCCTTGCTGGCCAACATCATCCGCACACACTGGCTTCACCAAGAGCGCGGCCTCCTGGATGAAGCCGTGTCGGCGCTGGCGGCCATCAGTAACGGCAGGGTCGACGATGAGCTTCGCGATGCTGTGGTGGCGACGGGGGTGTGTGAGTGGCTGGTGAAGCTGGCGGCGGGGGAGTGGGCTATGTGTGGAATTCCAGAGAACGCTTTAACTGTGTTAGCCAACATTGCACAAGGTCAGTTGCCCTGACGCAGAGAGGGGGAGAGGGGGAGAGAGTGTTGTGTGTCCATGCAGGTACCGATGCCCATCGTGACGTGCTGGCTGAGTGTGGTGTCATCCCACGGCTCAGCAAGCTGCTGGAGCCACCGGCGACCAACGAGATCATGCACCAGCAGATACCGACGAGCAACGAGGTCTTGCGGCAGCAGCAACCGACGACCAACGGGTTCTGGCTCCGTCTTCGCGCGCTGCATCTCGCGCGAGCGCACTACACTGCCTGTCATATTCTCACGAGTATGATCAATGAGGGTAAGAACGAAATACCAGCAATCGTCCCTGATTGCAAACGTCACCCGTGTGTCTGTGAATGAAGGGACGGCTGGCCATGTCGTGGCGGTCGTCAATAGTGGAGCAGTGCCGCACCTCCTCGACATCATGACGGCGGACAACATGTATGCGGCGGTCGTCAATTATGGAGCAGTGCCGCCCTTCCTCGACATCATGACGGAGAGTGGGCTGGGGATAGTGCGGTGCATCAAGCGGCTGGCAGCACGAGCCATGGAGTACCTGCCGTACACGGCATCGCAGCAGCAGGTAGGTGGGTGGGGTCGGGGGAACGAATCACATTTCTCCACCTGACCTCGTTCGTTCCTCCCTCGATCCATCCGAGTGTTCAGGTCGAGCTCACACCGACCAGTGAGGCGGCGGCGCCGAGTGAGGACACCAAACCGACCAGTGAGGCGGCGGCGCCGAGTGAGGACACCAACGCACAGCAGGTGAGGGGCAGACCAAAAGACACTCACCATCAACGACGCTGACATTTGTATGTGTGTGCTGTACGTACGTCACTGTGGCACTGCAGGTGTCCGTAGCCACCGGACCATCATACCGTCAGATCCACTGGAGCGGCGAGCCTCCACCCATCG